TCGCTCACCAAAGTTCGCTCGACAGCCGGACAGCCTTAATCAGATACACATTATTTGATTTTAGAATAACTTTTTTGTTTTCTATTAAAATTTTGAGATTTCTTTTTTAAATCGACAGTCGAATAGTCTTAATTAGATATACATTATTTGATTTTAAAGTAACTTTTTTTTTTTCTATTAAATTTTTGAGATTTCTTTTTTAAATTGTAGAACGAAATATGGGCTTTCAGATAAAAAAAGAATTTCTAAATTTAGTCTTATAATTATTAAAAGGCAAGGCACTCAAATATCGCTCACCAAAGATCGCTCACCAAATTTACTCGATAGCCCTAATCAAAAAAATTATTATGAATTTAATTCATAGGCCTTTACTCGTCTTTTATATAATTTTAGCGATTTAGTTATATATTAATTTTTAGATATTATTTAAAATTATTATTAAACTTTAATTTAAAAGTAAATTTTTATAAATTAAGTTTTATATCTTTATAAGAGATATTAAATTAAAAAATATAATATATAAATATTTAAGAATCTTTAAAGCGAGTTTCTTAATTAAATAAAGATTTATAAAAACTCTATTTATTTAATATCTAATTTTTTTATAATAATAAGTTAGATTAAGCGAAGAGTAATAGAGATAATTAAGAAGTTAAATAATATTATAAAAAATTAGAATATAGATATTAGCGATATTAATAATTAAAATAAATTAGCGAGTTTAAATCTATTATTTAAATAGTTTCTTTATTTTATTTACTTCTTTTTATCTCTAATTTATTTAATTTAATATTAATTTAATAAAGTTATTTAATATAATTTCTCTTTATAAAGGCCTTCGCGTAATATTTTATATATATTTAAATAAAAGTAATTTATAAGTTTAAGTCCCTATAGATTTTTAGATAGAATATCTTTATTAAGATTATAGATATAAGAAGTATATATATACTTCGAAAAAGAAGTTTTACGAAGAAGAAAGATATTTCTTAATATAGTTCTAATTAATTAATTAAAGAAACTCTTAAGCTATAAAGAAACGAAGAAAGTAGTTATATATTAAGACGCTAAGGTACGCTAGATTAAGCTATACTAAATTATAAAAATGTAATAATTACTCTTTCTTATAAAAGTTATTATATTCTCGAGCTTTTTCTAAAGTTAGATCGGATCTAAGGTAGGGAAAAGAAAAGATATAAAGATTTAGATATGAAAGTGTAATCGAATTGAAAAGAGTGAAAAGGGTGCTTGCGTTTTCTTTTCAAATAGACTTTAAGCGCTTTTCTTAAGATAGAGAAAGAAAGATATATGCTTTCCTTAGTCGTAGTAGAGAGAGGAAAGAGAAGATATAAAGGTTCAGGCGTAAAGGTGTTCGAGTTATATGCTTTCTCTAGTCGTAGCAGAGAGGGAGATATAAAGGTTTAGGCGTGAAAGTGTTCGAGTAAGGTCCTTTTGAATAGACTTCGAGTATTTTCCTTAGTCGTAGCATTCTTTTACTCCATACTCGAGCTTTTTCATATCTGAGATAGATATCTTAGTAGGGAAAGAGAAAGTATAAAGGTTCGACGTAAAAGAAATCGAATTGAAAAGAGAGGAAAAAGAAGGTATAAAGGTTTAGATATAACGGATTTTAAACGCTTTTCTTAGTCGTAGTATTAAAAACGAAAAATCCTTTCTTTCACTCTTCGAACTTAATAAAAGACTTTTCGTCGTTAATATAAAGAAATATTAAAATTATTAGATCTAGATATTTCTTAGCGAAGATTTCTTATATATTATTTAAAGTTTCGAGAATCTTATTTAGTAATAGCTTATTAATACTTTAATAATCCTTAATACTCTCTATATCGACCTTTCTATCTTTAATTTACTTATTATCTTAATTTAGAAAAGACGAAAGTTTTATAACGTCTTTAATAAGTTTTATTACACTTTTATACTAAGTTAAGAGTAAAGTAATTATCTTATAAATTATTTTTATCGCCGTTAATAGTGCTATTAGCTTTCTCTACGTTTTCGAGAGAGTATTCTTTAATAAGTCGATCTTCTTCTTTATGCGTGCGTAATTATTATAAGTATCTACTTTCTTAACTTTTAACTTCGAATTCGAATTCTTGAAGACGAATAGCTGATAAGTCGGTTTCTTCTTAATTATCACCTTATTACTTGGGTACTTAACTTTAGATTTCTTAGACTTCGGCTTCTCGGTAGTCTTTCTCAAGAATTCAGCTTCGATTGTAGTGTTTTCTTTCTTAGATCTCGTCTTGTGGATCGAGACTTCGTTCTTTTTAAGTCGTTTCGTATTGCTATTAATTATTAAGATTACAGATATAAGAAGCATATATATACTTCGAAAAAGGAGTTTTACGAAGAAGAAAGATATTTCTTAATATAATTAATTAATAGATGCTAGTAAGCTATAAAGAAACGAAGAAAGTAATTATACGTTAAGTTACGCTAGATTAAGCTACGCTAAATTACGAAAATATAATATTATCTTCGTTAAAATAGCTATCTTAGCTAAATAGTCGAATAAAATAAATAACTTTTAAATTAAATAAACTTAAGAATCTAGATTTCGCTATAGATTTTATTAAAGAATATAAAAGAATATATATAAAATTAATATTCTTATAAGAAAAACGTTATAATATAATAGTAATAAAAGTCTTAAAAGTAAAATTACTTTCTTAGTAATTACTTTCTTAATAATTATTTAACTTAATAAGAAAAGTATCGTAAGTCGTTATTTCGCTAACTTCGAGAATTTAAAATTCGAGATTTAAAGAATTAATCGAATCTTATTTTAATACTATCGTCGAATTTACTCTTAAAGAATTAATTAAATCTTATTCTAATAATATCGTCGAATCTCGTTAACTCGCGATTATATCATTATCCGCTACGATAATATTAAAAAGAAGCGAAAGAATTATTAAAGTTCTTAAGAAGAGAAAGTTTATACTTTAAGCTATAGCGAGAACGCTATCTTTCTTTCTTTTTCTAATATCTAATATAAAATTTAATCTTATAAGACTTAATAGACTTAATATACGAGTATATTAATAAGTAGATATTATTAACTAGATAAGTAATTCATTTATCTATATATATAGCTTTTATAATATACTTTTATATTAAGAAGCGAGTATATATAGAAGAAGCTTCTCGAAGAAAAAAAGAATTTTATTTACTCGTAATCGCTCTATAGATAGTAAGATTATTAACTTTGAAGCTCTTAAGACTACGTATATCTAATATAAAGAGAAGATTATATATTTAATAAATAGAGACTATACGCGTAATAGCTATTAAAAAAATAGATTATAAATTTAATTTATAAATCTACTTATTAATATATATAATAGAATAAGATAGAATTAAAGTAAAAAATCTTAAATTTATATATATAGTTAATTATAAATTCGAGTTCGCTACGCTCTTTAATTAGATCGACTAAATTATCGCGAGTAAATAAGTTAGTATTTATAATTATTAAGATCTCTTACTCTACTTTTAACTCTTTAATAACTATTAAAATTTTTAGATTTTTTTTTTAAATTATAGCCCGCAGCTTACGCTTTTCAATAATGAAAAAATTATAAAATTTGATCTTTTAATTATTAAAGCGTAAGGAATTTAAATATCGCTTATTAAAGTTCGCTCGATAGTCGAATAGCTCTAATTAAAAAATAGATATATATTATTTAATTTTAGAATAACTTTTTTATTTTCTATTAAAATTTTGAGATTTTTTTTTAAATTATAGAATAAAATATAGGCTTTTAGAATTTTATTTTTTTTAAATTTAGTCTTATAATTATTAAAGCGTAAGAAATTCAAATATCGCTTATTAAAGTTCGCTTATCAAATTTACTCGATAGCTCTATAATTAAAAAAATAATTATAAATTTAATTTATAAATCTTTACTCGTATAACTATATAATATTAACTCTCTAGAAATAAATAAAGAAAATTATTAAACTAAAATATAAAATATAAATATAAATAAAATAATAAAATATATTATAATATAGTAAAGATAAGAAAGATAAGAATTTTTATTTAAATTTAATAAGATTAGATAAAGTTTCTCTTATAAGTATATAATATCTATATAGTAATCTATAATTACTCTTTATAATCTAAGTAAAAGTATATATAAATAATTTAACAATTAATTAACAACGCTAAAGTCTGTATTAAATCTTCATCTTTTCTACTCAGTTTGATTCTAATCTCCTGGTCGTCAACTTCGATATAACCGTTATTGTCTGCCGAGGAGCGTTTCCCCATGAGATTGCACTCATAGAAGTGAGAGTGCACTTAATCAATGATTCTGGTCGGTTTATGGTGATGTTATGCTTGTTTGAGTGGTGGAGGATGTATCTGTTTGTCGTGTTCTATGTCTCCGGATTTCCCGCGAGGGCTGCAGTCCAGAAGCACAAGTAGGAGTTCATGGCGGCTGGTCCGCATCGTCCGTTACTTTTGCTTCTATTGAGCGAGGTTCTCGTGAAACAGCGAGGATCAAAGCAGCTAGTCGTCCAATCACAGCCACCCGGATTTGAACACAGCTCACGGCCGTTCATAGTCACAGACGGACCAATATCCCTCAAACCAAGAGCTCTTATTACAATTCGTCTCCCAGTGCACGCCGCGACTCGCAAGCCAGTAGGCAGTATGACACTCCCGAGAACAGCTCTGCTGCTAGGAACAATCCCTTGCCTCAGCCCGTGCGCTTAAAACATGACGACCACTGAAATCTTGATACACAGCCTACTGATTTCCATTGGCAAGATTACTTCGAAAATGAAGAACCAGGTTGAGCAAAGTGAGCATAACCCATAAGCGACTTGGTCCGTCGCGCCATCAACGAGATCGCCTTGCGAAAAAGCGCAATCATAGTAGTGATGTATCGCTCGATTGATTCTGGGATGCGGGATAATAAGGCGAGCGCCTGCGCCTGCTCCAGTGGCTCTCCAGGGAGGTTGGCGGGCAGCTATGTGTCAGGCCGAGGGCAGAGAACATAGTGGTCGTCGTGGCCTGTTTTGAGGGTATGTTTGTAGAAGAACTGGCCGCCGCGGAAGACGGTGCCGGATTGGGAGACGAGGCAGCTGATCTTCCACTCCTCCGAGCCAAGCTCCCGAAGCCGCACGCTGAGGCGGCCGTCTTCTTCTAACCAGACCGAGTATGAAAACTCACTGGAGCCGTCGTTCATAATCAACCACTTTGGCATATCCGTCAGCGAATTTTGCGTCAGCCGTAGGCGGCCCTTTGTTCCCAGGTTTAACTTGTAGACGCCATTGGGGGACGTGATTGCGTCAGGCGTTGTCGTATTTTTGCTGAGAATGGAGCCCAGGAGGATCAAGTCATCAGGAATTGTGGGTCTATCAACTCTGATAATGGTGTAGGTTTGGGGGATTAGACTGGTATGGTGGTGGTGGGGGTGGTAAGAGGGAAAATGAAGATCTTCCTGCTGGTCTCGAACCGCGCTCCGTGGCCGTTTCCTGACAAGATGTACAAAAGACAGACGAGAAGGATCAATAGTGATAATATTGAGTTCTTCTGAGCGAACTCGTGTAGGCATGTTGCGGGTAATCGCACTCAACAGTCACTCGCAGCTCTTGAATATCGAGTAAACAAGCGACGAGCGTGACGGAAGAAGTTATCGTATTACGCACTTGACTCTAAATGCGTGGCATAATTGGGAGCATCCGAGAGACAACGGGATAGTGACTGTGAAACGAGATCGTCGCTTCATGATTTCCCAGATGGTTCATGTCAATGAACTCTAGTACCATAAAAGTCAAAAACATCTGTCTCACCTAGGTAAAATGATACTTGAAAGTATGGCGACTGCTCGCTAAAACATCAACGACTTTAAGCATTTGACTTTGCACCTCACGTCAAAAAGCCTTAACAAACACCTTTAACAATTTACGCTTTGTGTAAAACAGATCAGACCTCCACTTGATTACTCCAGGCATCATGGATAATAATCAGTCAGCTCCTTGCAATCAACTTCATCCATGTTTTCAACACCCTCCCACAACGACTGAGGTATCGGCTTGGCAAGCGCGTTGGCATTACCTCTGTCCTGCTTCTCTATGAATTCTTGCCGCGACTTAATCCCATAATGGTGAAGAGCCCATTTCTCATGGGTGACAGGATTTCTCCATGGTCCGGTAGGGTCGCCATGCTCTCCTACCTCCATGTACCCATCTTTCGTTCCAATGTGATGAACATTGTTGACTTGCTGGAAGAGCTCGGTACGGACAAACATCTTAACATGCTTGTTTTCGCCATTGGGATCGTTGACGACACACTTGTCAAAATTCTTGCGGGCACCGCCTTCAGGACGGGTAAGTAATCCTGCCGAGTTGTGGGTGAGCCATTGAGCAGCCACGGCACCGACAGTATCATTGTGCTCCCAATCATGTAGCCATTGCATTAGCGTTTGGCCGTTCCGCATCTCCAGGAACTCGTCAGCGTCTAGAAAACCCATCCATGTGTGGCGCTTGCCATAGTCTTTGATGCACATGTCGCCGTAAATATGGTGATGCATCGGCTCGGGCCGTTCTTCGATTGGGGTGCGAGGTATATAGACAAAGGTAATAGCTGAGCGAGGGATACCGTAATCGGGGAGTATAGAAATTGGTGGTTGGCTTCCATCATCCATGACATAGAAACGTCGAATGCCATGATGATAGTAATAGTGGGGAAACCATTCGAGAAGGTCCACGTGCTGGTTCTTCACAGCCATACATATAGATATGTATTCTTCGTCATCACCAGGAGGGAGGGGGGATATGGCGTTTTTGTGAATGTTGCTTGTGTTCCGCTGTCTGCAAGAGACGCTAAGTTGTGTGAAGACTTGGTCTTTTCCTTCGAGACGGATTTTTCCTCAGGGTAAGACGCTTCCTTCAGGTCTGAGCTTTCCCTGGAGTGGGGGTATTCCTCTAGGTCCGAACTCTTGCTGGAGGAATATGATGGTTCTTTAAGATTCGTACTCTCGGTAGAAGGATATTGCAATTCTTTAAGACTGTTATCCTGGCTCGAGCTGTGAGAAGTCGAATCAGCAGCCTTGTCCTGCAAAGGCGCTAAGGTTCTTGAAGGCCGCCTGCCCGGGGCGATCCACAGCACAGTGAATAAAGAAAGGGTGACAAGCACGCAGATAGTGAGGACTCGCACGATGCGCTTGGGGCTGAAGACGATGGGCCGATCCCAAAAGTCGTTATTTTGATGTGAGTAGAACATCTTAGATTCGAATCATGCTGCTGCTTCTGTGGGGGAAAATCAAAAGGTCTGGGAATTCTTTGGTCAAGAATCATATTACGACACTCGAGTGATATACATTTTTATGTACAAGGAGGAATAAAAGTTGAAGAGGGTGCAAAATACCATGCGGCACAAAGCTGTGCCTCTACTTTGTTGCACCATTGGTACTCGTACCTGCGTATTGCAGAATTCCTTGGCAGGGGAAACCCTATGGAGTATGCTAGCGGACGCAGAAACGGTTGGAATTTTGAGCCAAGAATTCCAACATTTCCTAACCTCGGTCGGCTGCCAAGCATGAAAGATTTGTCGTCTCCTCTTTACTCTACTTCTATTGTTTATCGAGTCACCATGCACATATATATTCCGTCTTTTTGCAATCATGCTAAAAAGTACACACCTTTGGCTGTAAGCATTTACAGACATTTGCAGACCGGTGCGAAGTCTTCGGGACAGCTACAACGAAGATGCCTTTATTTTCGACGATATTGTTCTACGGTGCGTTTTGATCCAACCAAATGCTGCAAAGCTCTACTCTCTTCTCGCAGTTGGAAATGCACTGGACCCTTAGCGGACAATGCAGAGACCAACGTGACACCAAAACCCTATAACTTGAGCTCGGTCCTGGCTGCTGAAAATCCATGTACAGGAGATATGTAGACCGCAGGGAAGATAGCACAATCGTAACGGAGATAAGTCTCACAAAGGGACCTCCGGTAAGCAGTGGCCCAGCTACATGCCTGGAGCATTTTGACAGGTGTAATTTCAGACGACGCTCTGGCATTTGTAACCTTGATTGGATAAAGTTACCGCCAGCTGGATGACTGACTTCCATGAAGCTCTTTCATCGTCTCAGACTACATTGCCCGAAATAATAGTCATGATCCACTAAGACTCCGTAGTCACTCGGGCCTTCGCATTTGTAACCTTTACCCCCAACTGCTTCGCCTTCGCAACGATATCCACTCTCTTTCTCGATGAAACTGCATGGGAAATCCTGTTTGCAGTCAGCGCCCAATGCGACAATCAAAAAGACGCGATTAAGGAAGAGCAAGTCTGTTTACGTACTCTGCCGCGAACGTCTTGTTGTGCATAAGCAGAAGGTCAACATCTCTGGAATTGTGGACAACGAAGGCTTTGTGGCCAGAAGGCATCAGATGCCGGGTTTTCTTATTGGAACCGTATCCTATCTAAATCATGGTACTTCAATCAGCCTCTCTCCTTAGCAATATAATTTGCCGACCATATTTTCGGCGGTCTGAGAAGCAGGCAACATTCGTGCCCATAAGTTTCTTCTCAATAACGCACTAGTTGCATAGTACAAAACGCACATACCGAAGGCATAGCAGCTTGACCCTTGAAACGTCTGCGGACTCGGTTGTCGATACCCTTGGGCTTCCGCCAATTTGCGTCGACACATTTGTAGGTGTCGCTCTGGTGACGATTGAAGCGCTTCGTGCCTGCAGAACGAATGATCAGCAGAATCACTATTGACTGCTGCCATAAAAATGTAGCGGAGGTGGAGCGGTTTGTGAGAAGCTCGAACAACGGGTTGACTTACGCTTTTTCACGATCTTAATGTGCTTTTTCGCGGCAGCCATCTGGAACGCTCAAAGGCTCATCAGCAGCCATCTATATCAGGAGTGCCCGCAGTTGTTGGAGACATACCCTGACGTAGGTGATCGATGTTAACGTGATGTTTGGAATCGAATTTCAAGGACGGCAATGTTCAAGTGCTACTAGCTTCTGCGCTAGTGGTTAAGCGATAATTCCCAGCAAAGTTAGGGTTAGGGCAAATCTGTCACAGCTAATGTTCGTAACCTCTAATGGGGCTTCGTTGCGTGATATTTAGTAGAGGATAGCCACGAACATTTTTACAGATTTTCATCGAGCCAAATTATGTGGGTGGGAGTGCTCTATCCATCTGTCCTTATACGCCGTTCTCACCAGTGCTCTATGTGCGTCTGGCGAAATCCTCGCGTTCATGAGCACGCTGGATGCTTGATGCTTCTTTTCCGCGGTACTCACTGCTGGGCACATTGAGCCTCGCCTTCTTCTTCATCCTCGTCGTCAACCCACCCTTCGTCGCCTTCGGCACTTGCTCCGAACTCGTTCAAGTTGGCAGTTTCGTCGTAAGCAACATCATCAACGACGTCAGCTTGTATTGGGGTTTCGGGAGTCGGTAGGAGTTCTTTCAATTTTGCAAGTACCTGCTTGTCTTCAAGCCATCCATGCTCTGGGAACTTGACCTTGACCACCAAGTACAAATCTCCCTTTAACTCACTTTTCTTGTGAGGCATTCCTTCACCCACCACCTTGATGACTTGGCCCGGCTCCAAAACACGTGCATTAGGCTGAGAATGTTGGATGTGGAGACCTCTACCATCCAGGTGCTTCACGATCACTCGCGAAAAGCCACATAGAGATTCGACTAGAGTGATTTCAATTTCCGCCAACAGATCAGCGCCTGCCCTTTTGAATGTCTCGTGTTCGGTCTGCACGAGGCCGAAGATAATGTCACCGGGCTCTTGATCGGGTACCTGATCCGCCTCACCTTCCAGAGTTATCTTGTCTCCTTCTCTGCAGAAAGATCAGCAAAGTCGACAAAAGGTAGGAGTAGGAGTATGAGGGCTCTAACTTTGAACCTCTTGGAATGTAGATTTCCAAAACCTTCCGTGCTTCTGTGACACGCTCACCCTTGCACTTTTTGCATTTGTCTTTTTGAGCATATACACTTCCTTTGCCTTTACACGAAGCGCATACGACTGTTTCTTGGGTAACCAGGCCTGGTCCGATAGACCGTAGTCCTTGCTTGGAGCCTGTGATCGCGTATCAGTGGATCCCTTCTTTGAGCCCGTAACGTCTTGAACGTACCCTTGCCCTGACACGAAGCGCACTGCTTTGCCTTTGCCTTCTCCTTGCCGCCACTTCCCTTGCAGTGGTTACATATGACGTTCTTTGTGCTCGCAAATTTTGTGGTCTTTCCCTTGTATAGATCCTCTAATGTGACCTGATAGGGATGCTCCTCATCATCACCCTTTCTGGACTTTCTCGGTCCTGGCCCACTGAAACCCGGCGGCATACCGCCCCCCATGCCAAACATCTGTGAAAGCATTTCTTCAAGATCGGGACCTGCGCCCATACCATTGCCATGAGCGCTGTCAAATGCAGACATGCCATGGGTATCGTATAAATGTCTCTTGTCATCATCGTATAGGATTTCGTAGGCTTTGCTGACTGATTTGAACTTGATTTCTGCGCTAGCTCTCTCGCTCTCGGCCACCTTATCCGGATGGCTAGATAGTGCTGCCTACACATTATCAGCTGAGAAAACCAAAGTAGATAGGAAAGTGGACCTTATGATATGCTTTCTTGATCTCCGACTTGCTTGCACCACGTCCAACCTCTAAGACCTCTATGATCCCATGAGTACAGGTAACAGCGCAGAAACGATTGCCAGCTAACCGTACAAGTCTGTGTCTTCGGCAGAGCTATCCACTGCTCGTAGTCAGCTGTGTATCTTCCTTTAGACTGCAGAGACTTACTCTCCGTGAGGGTCTAATGGAAGACCTCACAGTGGGCTAAATGGTCATCTCAAGTGTCACATAGGAGATTGCTTCTGAGGCGTAGGTGTAATATGAATGAAGAGTGTGAAAGAAATCGGGGATTGAGCAGGAAGCAATAAGGTTTATAGTGCCTGAGACAAAATTCTAGTTCACTGCGCGGAGAAAGCGCGCTAGAGGTCAACCGCCTAGGTCCCCAGATTCCTTGAGCAGCTGCTCCCTACCAAAAAGCCCAGGACTCTTATTAAGAAGGTCTGATACGTTATGACGGTGCCTAGGCGAACCATTGTATCTGGAAGTAAAGCTTGGATCTGTTGCAGATGCCGGGCCCTATCTACAGCTAACAAGCCAGATGTAATAGAGAGGCGGCCTTCACAGAAGCTACCCACAACCCCAGCAAGGACTCGGTTTGCCCCGTCACCCACAGGATATCTTCATTTGGGTTCTTTACGTACGGCGTTGTTCAACTATCTAACTGCAAAAGCTACGGGGGGAAGTTTGTATTACGGATTGAAGACACAGACAAAGTTGGTCCAAACATCGACTCAAGGAAGTGGAACGATTCACATGGCTGATAGTCGAAGAAAAGGATTGTGGATGATGCGGAGAGCAGGCTATATCAGGACCTGAAGTGGGCTGGCTTACAATGGGATGAGGGTATGCAGAGGAGCATTGAATAATTCGACGATTCTATATTTCTGATGGAGTCCCCAGGTCCTGATATTGGAGGTCCTTATGGACCGTACAAGCAGGTACCAATCGCATGTGAAATAACCAAAGACTCTCCTGACATACGTTTAGTCCGAAAGAACATCTATGTACCAGAGCCATGCAGAGAAGCTGCTGCGATCTGGGCACGCTTATCGATGTTTTTGTTCCACAGAGCGCTTAAAGAGCCTTGCGAAGGGAAGGAACGGCCTTGGTCTATCCAGCGACTATGATCGAACTTGTACCAGCCTCCCAGCTGGAGAGTCGGAGGAACGTGCTTTCCAAGGGTGAACAACATGTTGTTCGATTGAAGCTTCCCTGAGGTCCCACCCACGTACACAGATCTGGTTTACGGAGTCGTTGGC